GGCATTCTTATCTTGACATAGCACTATTTTTCCTGTGAATAATATCATTTCCCTGCTAAGAGAATCTTCAGACAGTATTATCTCAATTTATGGAGACTGTTTGGCTACTAGGATAACATGTTAAAGATTTAGTCAAAAATAGTAGTATAATTTCCTGTCTATATTTATTGTTATTATTTTTTCACCTTCTTTGTTTTGTCCAAATGAGCATAAGAGGCTCTGCTGTCAGTGAAGGGGTGGGATGGGCTGTTACATGAAGGTTAAGCACCTGGATTTGAGAGGAGAAAGTTTGGGCACGAATCTCAGACATGCTCCTAATTAGCTGGTTTATCTCAGGTCTGTGCTATAAGGGATAAATTCTGTTCAAAGAAAGATGTGGCCCTTTCTCCTGGCTCCTCTATCCTTAAAAATGTCCTACTTGATAAGAATGCCTTTGTTTACCTGGGGACCACAGGCCATGACAGATACTCTATGCTAACAATGTGTATATAATGCCATGGGCCACAAGGCACCAATACAACCTCTGGAGGGCATAGAGGCTAAGGTCAGTCACACAGGATGTCAGTCAGGTCTATACAGCCGACTCCTAGAAAAATCTGGACAGCAAAGTTTAAATGCGCCTTCCTGGTAGAATCAATGCCCCATGAGAACCATCAGACACTGCTGCTGAGAGAGAGTAGTGCTGCCTGTAGTCTCCACGGGAGGGAAGACAGCTGGAGAGTCCGCATCTGGTCTCTCCTGCACCTTACTCCCCAGGCCTGGTTTCTGATTTTATATGTATCCTTTTGCTGCAATAAACTGTAACTGTGAATAGAACCGCTTTCCTGAGATCTGTAAGTCCTTCTAGTAAGTTATTTAACTTAGGTACCAGTCAATTACAGGCCCATTATGAATTTCTGAGTCTGTCTTTTTATTTTTAATCATGTAGGACAATTAAATAATGTTGGTAAACCACTTAGCAACAGGCCTTGAAATATTAAGGAATAAAAGCATGATTGGCTATTTTTACATCTGCTTTTGGTCTAGATAAAGAGGATTCCTTTGATCTGCTTCTGAATGAGACCCCATGATGGAATCTGATTACTTCACAGTGACATGAGGAAGCAACAACACAATTTATAGCAGGAGTGGGGGTTGAGTAATGGATAACAGATGTTGGCCACCTGAAATTTCTAAATGTAAACTGTCTCAGACCACAGCGCCCCAATCCCAGAGCCACCAATGCTGCAAAAGACAAAAAAGCTCTGCTGTTCTCAGAACCGTAAAACTATTTTCTTGCTACAATTTTCATATTTTCTTTATACTACTACTTTTCCTGCCTATCTCTGTAAAAGTGTGACAGAATCCAGTTATTTTAACTGAAAATCTGTATATATGTACTATTGCCAAATTTTACTTAATTATTCATCATCATGAAAAACCACTAATCATTTTTATTTTTATTTAAAAATATACCATCTTCTAAGTATCTCTTTAAATAAAATTTTTCTTAAGCTAGATTAAAAATACCCAAGTTTAAAATTTATTGAAAAAAGTTATTTCTACAAATATATATTTCAAAAGGATCATTCTGAGAAGAGAAATGCTACGTGAACTTACAATGATACAAAGACTTCAGTATTCTAACATGGACCACTCTTTGAAAAGAGTAATATACTTACTTTAAATGTTGGTGAGAGAGAGTTTTTTAGAAACCAGAATTTCACTGGTGTTTTTGTGTTACATAAAACAGAAAGCATCATAATTCTGTGTAAAAGAACATTAAACCCAGTATAAGTTAACATTAACAGAAATTTATCCTACTTTTTAAAAGACTTTAAGTATCTAAAGGTATGAATTAGAAGTTTTTCACTATGAATTATGGAAAAGCCACTGAGATATCTTCAAATTTTAGATTGATCAAGAATATAACCTATAAAGATGGGAAAAATATATCTCATTGATATAGGCTAAATTGATTGGTCTTTGTTCTGTTTTTTATTTGCTGACAAGAAAGTTGCTCTGATACAGTCTTGTGGAGCTAAATTAGACTCTGACATTAGCTCTCTTACTGTGTGATTCACCGTGGGTCTGCAAAGCTTTGAGAGTCGAATGATCTGTCTATACTGATAAATTTACTGAAGCAATTTCATTTGCTTTGCTATCCTATATTTCTAAATAGAAAAGATCTAAAGTTCCACTTTAAAATACCAACATTGCAATTCAAATATTTTTTGGAGCATCCTCTATAACCCTTCTACATAAACTGCTAAAAAATATCTCTCTGAACTTTGTAAATATGCTCTCCTCCTCTGATTACCCTTCTTCCCTTTTATAAAACAAGGTATTTCTTCACTGGAAAACAAAAATCTACTATGTATCTATTTTTCTTACCCATCACCTTACAAAATATGTCTATTTTCTAGCCTTAAAGAAAAACCAATAACCCACATCAAATCAAACTAATGAAATTTCACTATATTTAAATAATAACATACTTTCTTCATAACTGTAAGTAAACATTAAAAAGCAAGGTTAATATCAGTATATACTTTGTTACTATTTGGATAAAAGGGACTGAAAAAAAGAAAAATATTTATTTGCTGATATACGCAGTGTATCTTTGGCAGGATGTAAAATACTACTACAGTTTTCCTGTGGGAAAGTGAACAAATGGATTG